TTTAGCGAAGAATACAAAAGTTTCTTTGATGGAATTTTTCTAGTTAAGCGTGTCTTTTAGGAATGAATCTTTTTGTCACAACGGTTTTCCACGTGCCACAATGGAATGTATTGTTATTTCCATTCACTTTGTCAGACAAAATCATATTGTCATGGATAAGAGCAGTGCACTTCATTATTGGATTGTATTTTGGGATATACAAAGAGTCGGTAAAAAGAATAAGTTTTAAATTTCATTTGGTCAAATTGGAGAATGCAATTGTTCTGTTCTATACGAGAATTAAAATAAATCTGTTCAATTTCATTTTTGTGTGAGATCAAACCCAAAACTTATGCTAAACAATATTTTATAAATCGGGTGATGTAAAAATAAAGTAAATGTACGAAATACAAACTCCTGGAAGAGTCTCGAATTTCAGAGAAGATTCTAAAAAGTGTTATTTCACGAGTATTGAATGACAAAAGAACCGTAGTCAGGACAGAAATATTTTTTCTGTTTTAGTTTATTGAAAAAAATTAATATCTATTGTTTAAAATTTTCGTTTATTCTCTATCGTCCACTTATATTGCTAAACGCCTATACATGAATGTTGTGCCACCAAACATCTTAATTTATTGTATTTTCATAATATCATCCTAAACAGTGTAACATAGTATAACACGATAAAATGTTTCACGAGTTTGTTATAAAAATCCCCGATAATTTGCAATTAAAAACTAAGAAAACTCAATGTTAGGAAAAGTTCTAGGGTATCACTTCGATTGATTATAGCAAGGTGTAAAGAATGAGCTGTTAAACCTTGGAGTATTTTTAAATGATGTTATCTATTAACAGTATTTGAGGGTCTTGACTCGTAACATGAACTCTTTGGAAAACCTAATCACGGATACTTACCATAAGAATCTCAATTTTAAATCATAGGCGTTTCCACATGATTTTAAAAACTTCAACTAGGGATGGATAAAAGGAAAATACAACTACAAAATTAGAGTGAAAAACTTCAATTTTGAAAAAAAACTTTATAATGATATGTGTTACCTAAATCAGTATGGGTTATTCATGATTTACTTTTTCCCGCTAAAATATTGCTCCTTCGGGGATGGCTTGGCGCCAAATGGGCATCCATCACATCTGTCGTTTACGTTTTGCTTTGAAATTCCCTATAAATATTTAGTTGCATCATCCAAAATACTGTTGTATAATGTATAAATCTGTTCTGTTTGTATGAGATTTGTTTGTAGCATTTAGTATTCGAAGTTGATGAATTAAGCAATAAAATCCTGCCCAGATAAAACATTTAAACAATTTGACGACTTCAATATCAAATTTCTTGTGTGATGTGAATTTTGAAGGGTAAAAACACATGCGCTTTGTGGAAATAGGATTGCATACAATTTGAACCAAAATCAAGAAGGAAGATGTAAGGAAATCTCAAGTCGTACACAGGAAATACAATCGTGGCGCAATCTTGTTTGCATTCCTCTAGAATATATCTCATAACCAAGTATCCTGGTCCAAATGTTGTACATATTGCCTAAAATATAAATACCAAAGACACTGCCAATTAAGCCACTGTCAATTAACTTTTGCCTAAGTATGTTATAGACAAAAATAGGTCTTAATACGATTAACATTTTTGCAAAATCTCAACGTTGTATCTCAAACCGTTTAGGAGTTATTAAATCTCTTGTAAAAAAACACATAAATAAAGACAGACGGAAAACTAGGTACCACAGACCCATGTTCCTACGGTGAAATGTGTTTGTATTTACCTAAGCAATAACGCTATATACATGTGTCCAGAGAGTTACGGGACACTCTGTATATACTATAACACCTTTTACGAATATTTATTACATTTATACTTTTTTAAACTTGTTAAATGAGGATATTGATGCACAATTTATCAAGTTGTTTTAACAATGAAATATTCGTATGATTGTCATTCCATTAAACCACAAATCTGATTTACTGAATAGTTGCTCTATAACCTAAAAACCCAAGATTACTATAGAGGAATACTCTCGTTTTGATACTGACGTAAAACTCTTCCCCTGGTCTCCTAATGAGACTTTAAAAAAATTATATCAATTGGTTGCCAATGCAATAAAAGAATGTCACAGTCTATTAAACGTTCTGCAATCATATATATAATTGAGTGAAACCATGGTTAAAATGAGTAATTGGCAAATTAGAGTTTCTATGTTAACAAGTGGGGCAAGCAAACGGTATTTGCAACAAATACTCTAAGCCATCTCTCTTATTCTCTTTTGAGTTCCTATCACGTTGCAAAACACGGGTAAAACTAGTCTAACACTACTTTTAAGGTCTAAGCACAAATACTCTACTTCAAACTGTTTTTTTATTACAAATGAATTATAGTAAAATATGATTGAAAGACTATAAATGATATTTAAATAAACATCCTAGAAAAACACAAACAAAGGTAAATCGTCCAAGAAAATATTTAGGTTCACTTTCAATTAGCTTAAACACATAGGACTCGGGTGTTTTACATTACGATAAAGGGTACTAAAATCATCTTGATGTGTTATGTTAAGGGATTATAAGAGGTTTGCTGAAGGTCTGCTGTGACGGGACTGGAAGATTTATGTTGAATCAGAACAAATACATCAAAGCAATCTTCAATCGCTTTGCTGACAGTTTGAATCCGTTGTGTGAGCGAAGCTCTGGTTCCTAACTTTGTCGATTCTTCGAGCAAAAAAATCTTACTACGATCCAGAATAAAACATCCATCAACATATTCGTTGAATATTGTCAAAAATTACGTAAAAATTAATTGTTTGAAGAATTTGTAAAACTTTGTTTCTAAATTCCACTTTTAATGTTCTACTTAATAATGTTCTACTTAATTAAGTATTATTCTCATGGTTTCTTAAACAACATACATAACCTGAAGATATTTTTATTTATCGCAATTATATTTTTATGTTAGGTTGTTATTGTTTTTTTCCGATGACATTTTTACGATTGTATAAGGGAGAGGTCCAAACGCTGATATTTTTTCTATCTTATGTTGAAATTTCGATTCAAAAAATTTAAATTTGGCATCTGAATGAAAAATGGTATCTAGTTTGAGATTGTATATTATTAAAGAAAACCATTGATGAATAGTAAACTCCCCTTACTTTATAATTTGTTATCTACATTTAAATTGGTCTATTAAATATATTTAATATAATCTTAGCCTAATTCTTTAATCTTTACTATAATCTTTAAATTCTTGCATCCTATTTTTTTTGCATAGTTTAAAACTGTTCCAAAATTAACTAACTGACACAGTTATGTTAAACCAATTAGACTTAGAGTAGCATATTATAATATGTTTGTGTTACATAGTGTATTCAACGTGTTAAACTGGAAAGGCATTTGAAGTCCTCCAACGAAAGGGGAATTTATTAAATCGAGATTAATGGCGGATTTGAAAAGACTCAATTTCGGAAACGCTTAGAAGTAAATTGGATTTGCTTTGAGGATTTTTATTTGTCAACTCGAATTGGATTTCTTTAAAGAGCCATTTACTGATCATTTTATTCATCATTTGCTGCGTGTTGTTAAGCCTTCACTATCTAGTAAAAAATGTGTGGTTATTGGGTATTCAATAAGTAGTAAGGATTATTGTATTAGTAGCAACCGTCGTGGAAAACAATGGTTATGAGTTTTTTCGAATATTGTAACGCACTAGACCCTTAACCTAACCTAACCAGGTTCGGCCCATGGCTGCCCAACCGTCATAAGCAGTCACAAAGTTCCGGAGGTGATTAAACAACACAGAAATTGCAAAAATACCATTTAATCTCAGTCAAAATATATATATACAAGTACAATTACAAATCATTACAAGTTACAGCTAGCCCAGGTAACAAAAAAAGCTTGAGAAAGGTTTGTCACAAACCTTTTTTGTCAAACCTTTAAACTTGCTACAAGTGTATAACGGCAAGCTTGTACACTTGGGGCAAGCTTGTAGCAAACCTCCTAGTTCCCATCAGACAAGCTTGCCACAGGCCTTCTGATTAAACTTGTCACAGGCCTTCTATACAAACTTGTCAAAGGCCTTCTGATTAAACTTGCCACATGCCTTCTGGTTAAACTAGCCACACACCTTATGTTTAAACTTGACACAAACCTTCTGTTCAAACTTGTCACAGGCCTTCTGTTTAAACTTATCACAGGCCTTTTATTAGAACTTAGAAACTGTAACAGATATATTTTGTTCCATAAAACAAATTAATAAATCATTGAAAATATAGCTCAGATTAAAATGAAGCAAATTATGTTTATGTTTCATAGTAATGTATGTAAAATAAATTAAATTTTGTTTGGCCAACAAAACTTTTTACTTTGCCAGATAGAGAATGATAGGTTTTAAAAATAGACTTGGGACTGTAGGCTAATTAGAGATAAATGTGTTGGATCCTGTTTGAAAATAAAAGTAACTAATTACTAACTAAAAGCCAAAATAAAGCACTGAGCAATAAATAAATATGTTTTATGACAACTGTTCATTTCATAGTAGAATACAATCATTTTAAGAAATGTAGGCTATGGGTTTCAAAAAGGTATTTTACTTAAAAATTATTTTTGTCAAATGTCTACAAACTAACCGTAAGATAGCTTTGTAAGGTAAAGTAGGGAAATATCAGACTTGTTATCAGAAGTCTAATGTGCCCTAAATACAGCTTTCAGAACTAAATCAGTAGTTTAATTTTTACTCAAAGCAAATTTAATATAAATGCCTCTAATAGAAAAACTTGAATGTTATTAGAGGAAATGCTAAACAGAGCTAACTCCTCGGTTGAATTTAAATTGACTCCATATAATAGACCTAACACAGTACTGTATTAGTTACATAGCTTTACTAAGCTGTAATGACAAAAAATTAAACAAATTTATTCCTATACCTACAGTTGATTTCAAACTAATTGAGAAATTATCTTAATCAGAGAAGTTTTGACAATGGAAATCAAACAAAGTAAAAGTGCACTTAACATTTTATATTCTGAAAATATTTACACAGGTTTAAATTACAATTCGTACAGTATTCAGTCATCAGAACACTCTTCAGCAGCGGGTGTTGCTTGCTGTCTGTTAGACCTGAAAAACAGAAATTAAAAATATGTTGTTGTCTCAATAAAATTGATGTTTTGTAGTATTTTTTTAAGTTGCCATACATGTATTCCCTCAATAAATTATGTGACTTTGCCAAATTTATGGATTATAATTTCCTTTAGATCTGAAAATATTTATTATTCCTATGATGAGATAAATGTTTCAAATATTGCTTTGTGTGTGAGCCAATTATTTGCAAAACAACTATGGGCATTGTCTATAGTTTGAACACATATATATGTGTTAAACATATATATGTGGTAAACGCATCTTTCGACTTGTTTGAACACTATGAACACATATTGGCATGGTGTTCCAAATTTAATATATCTTTACTTAGGTTTCCAAATAAATTTAATTTTGGTCGGACTGAAATGAGAAAATAGAGGCTTTTTACAGTTTATAAAGTCTATATCACTATACCTTTTTCCATGACACTTGAAAAATTTCATACCGGTACTGTAGGTTTAAACCTTTATTAGATGTTATAGCTTTCAGGGATTAGCTTCAAAACATTTTAAAAGTACCTATGTTTGACTTTTTAAAGGAGTTCAAGTAAAAATTCAATAAATTTTAAACGTTTTAGAAATATATTTGAACATTGTAAAAAGTACAAACGCTAAAACAAAACAATAAATTGGAGAACTGACTCACAACAGAAAACAATAAATAATTAACCAATCAGCTGATGATATCAAAATATAGAAAAAAATAGAATATCATTAATTTATACTAGATCTAGTATCATTAACTAATAAAACAGATGACTGGGAAATTTGAGACAGGAATGCGTGATGTTAATATTAGAGACGGTCTAAGACTAATGAATACTACCATTTTAGGCCCGGTTCACACAAGCGACTTATCTAGCTGACTAGGCTGTGACTAGGTAAGCCCGACTGGGTAGAGGACTACAGGATTAAATGGAACCGTTCACACAAGCGTAGGGCGACGACTAGCGAGCCGCGTTCGAGCTTGGTGTCCCAAACTATTGTCGGGCCCCGCTTCCAAGTCACTCATGGCAGCAACCCAGTCGCCCGCTCTAGCGGCTTAGCAGTATGGCCCCTATGGGAGCGTTCACACGAGCGATCGGTCGTCACGCTGCAGCTCGCATTCTTCCCTTTGTTCTCATTGTCGCCAGTGATGGATCCGAGTAACATTGATATCGATATTTGTATTGAATCAATGAAGCAACAACCGTTTCTTTGGAACAATTATCTTTATAGGCCTATTATTAGTATTACAAGTCCAAATATAGGAATAAACTAAATATAAATTTGTAACCGATTAATAGGTTTATAATATAATTTTATATTGACCCTATACACTCTAAACAATGATGTTTTTTCAACCAAACTTTATAATAGTTTAAATGATAGTTTGTTGGGTGATTCCAATGCAAATTTAGTTTTGAAATGATTCGATAATTGTTTAAAACATCGTTATTGTCCAAAACATCAATGTAAAAAAAAAATCACTTACCATTGACGCAAAAACATCAAATATTTCCAGAAATATGTCAACGTATCGAAAATATTGATGTATTGAAAATATCGATGTAATAAAACATCGTTTATCGATGCACATTCATTTACGTCACACCTACGACCTAGTCCGTTGACATGTCGCTCGTGTGAACCGGTGTATCCTTTGGTCCGCTACCCATTCGGGCTTACCTAGTTACAGCCTAGTTAGCTAGATAAGTTGCTCGTGTGAACCGGGCCTAAGAAGCGAAATGCTCAGTCATGGAGAATAGTCAGCTTGGAATTTTGCCACCGAAATGAGCTTTGCGCGGCCGCACTACTCTATCTTACTCGGTAAACTGACTTGGCCGTGCATTCAAGATAGTCTACGATGCCGATTTCGCAAGAAATGAGACATTAAAGGTAAAAAACAATTGTTGCATACAATACCACTCTACATATAGGCTACATGTGGTTTTTTTAACACTCAGTGGGGTCTTAACTCAATATATAACTGAAATTCAAATCTAATTTACTAGACTAGTGCTGAAATAAACTTTCCATGCACAAACCTGAGGCCCATGTGGACAGGCAAATGTGAGGTAAAAAGGTTAAATAAACCCTGAATTTAACTGGTTCTATTAATGTTTTATAGGTATGGCTAATGTTTTTAATAGAGTTAGAATAATCTAAATGGCATTTTTACTAAGTACAATATCCAAACTAACAGAAGAACTTTGTACAGTTTCCAATGGCAACCTAAATACAGGGTGTCAATAGAACTCTTGGGGTTTTCAAATACATATCTTAACAGATTGGAAATATGAAGTTAATTCCTTAATAACAGTTAAACTCATTGTACCAACCAATTGTAAATTTTTGGTCAGCATTTGTTGGCAACACTGTGGCACATAAAATTTGAAAAAATCTAGAGCTGCAATGCCTTACGGAAAATGTTGCTATGGTGACGGGTGCTAGTAAATGAGGAGTTTTTTTATAAACGCCCTTTACTCATAATAATTTCTTATCACAAAGAAATAAGTACGGTACTGTAAATTGAAATAGGAAAAAATACCTCTTCATCAATCTGGGTGTGGCTTGCTGCAGGCACTTCTTGATTGAGTTCTTCATATTCTCAGCCGATGTTTCTCAATGTTTTCTCCTGACAGCATCTATAAATCAGAAAAAGGTGCACTAAACATACAAAATGAGTAAAGTACCAGAGCAAAAATACACCTGAAGCAGCAAACCTGCAGACTATCAATTCGTCTTAAACTGGATTTATGCTTAAAGATTTCCATTAAGCATATTTTGAATAAAGTTAGATCTAACTAGTAACATAGACAAAAAGAATTAAATATAGACTGTCAGCCGTGCAGTGGTTACCATAGGTTCTGGCACACAATGATGGGAGCGCCATGTAGTTACGTAGTGCGTAGGCCGTAACTGCATAGCGCTCCCAGAGGTGTGCGCCAGAACCTATGGTAACTGCAGCACAGCTGACGGTCTTTTTATATTTAATTCTTTTTGTCTATGCTAGTACTTACGTTTTCTACTATGGGGAATGCAAAAATATGTTTTTTTGAGCAAATGTTAGTATTAAGGTGAAATAGACTAAATAAAGTTGCTAAATTTGATCAACATAATATATCTACAAACAAGCAAACTATATACAAAAGCTCGCTCCGGCACATAGCCTATTTTTATAATATATGTAGCCCTACCTAATGTCAAGATTTTCCACAAATGGAGAAAGGCGATAATGATGTTTCGTTACTGTAGGGGGTATTCAGGATTTTTATGTGACCGCGGGAGACAATAATCTTTAGGCCTACATAACTTGATCTAAAGCAAAGTGACGTTTAACCGTTTCGATGCTAGAAAATTTTTTGGAATGTTCCGAAAAAAATTGTAGGCTAAGTAAGAATTACAGGAGAACCTTGATAAAAAGGCTCTCAAGGGGATTATAAAATAGGACTTGTTATCAAGGTTTGTCTTACTATCGAGGTTTGCAATAACATGTGATTAGGGGTAAAATAAATTCTAGGGGATTTAAAAATGAGACTTGTTATCAAGGGTGACTTGTTATCGAGGGTCTTGTTACTTGTTATCAAGGTTCCACTGTATTTACTTATTTCGTCCGAAAAGTGCTAAGCTTGCCACGAGGGCAAAGTCTATTGTGCGAGAAAAGAATACGCACATCATCATTTTGATAATAAGTAACTTAGGCCTAAGTTAACTTTTATCCTTACTCATCCAAAAACTTATTGCAGACGGCTCTATGTGAAACTGTAAGTACCCAGGGAGGGTAGGCCTATGTTTAGCCTAGTCCTTTTGATTGACTTAGTAGAGTCTATCAAGGCTAGCAGCCTACAGTCGAGGTGCTAATTAACACATGAGTTAGGTTAGCTAAGTAGCTTAAGTTATTATGGGACCCTAACATAACAAATTAACATAAACATTCCCAATAGCAAATTACTAGGTGTTTTGACACTTTGTGACAGAATAAAATGTGCTGCAGTTAAAAAAAAAAATAAAGTAGGCCTAAAATTTATATCAGCCCTCAGGTTTATTGGGCTACCAATAATGAATCATTATTAAAACATTTCCTGGAAAAGTTTTTAACAAACACTAAATTGACTGCCAATTTTTCAGGTGATCAAGTGAAAACAGATTTTAAAAAAGTTAAGAAGGTATAAGATGTGATAAATGTACATCTGATGTACATAAATCAAATAGCCTAGGGCAGGCCTTTTAGCTAGGTACCGGTAAGACTTTTGTGAGTTATGTCTAGACTAGGCCCAGGCTCTAAATCAAACGGTTGATGCTTAAATCATTATATTAATAACTTATAAACTTAAGTTAAGTTGGCTGCTTTAACTTATTTAAAATTACTGATTAACTTACTGCTAAATCTAGGTTATTCTACTCACCTGAAAATCGCAGTAGGTTTCAAAGTTATCACCGAGGAAAACTACTAATTAACCAAAAGCACTTATAAATTTACTTAGGGCTGTATACAAACTTTATAAACTTAAAAATTTAAACTTAACGCGAAATATAAACTCAAAACTTAAGGAAAAATAAACACTTAACCGAAAACAAGAAAGAACAAGCGCAGACGCCAGACGGCCAAACAAACACAAATAAAATGGCGGTTGTTTTGTTTTGTTGTTGTGTAGTAGACTGACTAGCGCCGCTAGCGCTGCGATGGATGAAAATTACAACTACGTTGCTTGTCGTGATACACCTTCCACGAATTGGCCCCAAGCTGTTCCCCGTAAGCCTTCTTCACAAGCGTGCCACAAGTCTGGCACAAGTTGATATAAAAAGGCCTTTCCAGACAAGCCTTTGACAAGGCTTGCCGTAAGCTTACGTGTTACCTGGGAGCCTACTCAATATTTGTTGGTAAAAAATTAATAAATTCAATTACCTACATAAAGATTACAGAATGATATTAAAAGGTTAGGCCTACAAAATAGGTGAAAAGTTCACCTTAAACAGTTGAACGATTAACGATCGAGCGTAAGTCGTGACATGAAAATTTACAAAGTCAAAACGACAAGATTTCAAATAAAATGTTTAAGATTTAAATCAGAACCTAACTTAGGCACTAGGGGCAAATTTAGAATGAAAGGCCGAATAAGTAAATTTAGAGACAAAGATTAACCAATTGTGCCCACTAGGCCGGTCAAGAAAACTGAAATAAATTCTAACTAGGCTAGGCCGAGTATCAAAATTATTACACTAAGTTTAAATCACAAAGGAACTGCTGACACATTAAAGAATTAATTGAAAGGTGTTAAAAAAAGACATTGGATATTTGTGACAATTGAGGCTGGACCGAGGATGTCCCACACACTATTTAACAGTTTGACGAGTAGAACGGAACGTATCAAAATGGAGTTGAAATTTGTTAATTTGGCTAGTAACTGAGTCTGTAATAGGCCAGAGTAATAATGGAACAACACCACCTGGCATAACTGTAGGATGGTCACAGTAGGTAGGCTTCCACCGATGACAACCTGCGATGTGGCGCAGCATGGATCACCAATAGGATAGACAGCCCAAACTCCGGCAGCAGAGTCCAAACTCCGGCAGCAGAGTCCAAACTCCGGCAGCGCTGTCCAAACTCCGGCAGCACTGTCCAAACTCCGGCAGCAGTAGCTTCTTACATGGTCAGCAGGATGTGTGTGTGTGTGTGGTCCTCGGTCCTCTCTTCATGGCCTCGTCACAGGTCTCAAATCAGGCTGGTGTCAGTCATAGCCGGGAGCCCTTTCAACATAATTCACATCCAATAATATCTTGTAAAACACAGGCCTACTTCAATTACAGGTTAAGGTAGCACCCTTGATTGAAAATCTGTACTAGGCCTAGGCCATAGTTTGACTCTTGAAGAATATGAACTTCTACTAGTTAGGCTAGTTTTAAACAAAATTCAGTCTTACTGGTAACAAGGCTTAGATAGTGTTAACCCTTATGAAAAAGTTTATATATGGCCATATAAATTTTTTTTTATCTGGTTATATTTGGTTTTGGACCAAATATAACCAGATATGATCATATATGGAATCCCCCATATATGGACATTTTTTAATAAAAAATCTATAAATAAATAAAAAAATTACAATTAAACATATTTTCACATTAAATCTTATAAACTATGCATTAAAACCATAATAAAAATTTTTAATTTGAAAATTTCAAAACAAAATTTTCAAGTAGCCGACTGGGATTCGAACCTGGGACTCCAGCGTGGGAGTCTACCCCTTTGACCACTACACCACAACCGCTTCATATCAGATGTCTTTACAAAACCCATTACGAATAAGAGAAGCTGTATTTGGTCTCGTAAAACAAGATTTTCTTAGACATTTTATGTCATTTGAAGAATTTTATTATTAATATAGCCTAACTACGTGACATAGATATTTGCAGCTGTTTGATAGCAAAGGTACAATAAATTAATTATTAATATAATATTCTCTTTATTTAGGCCTACTACACTTACAATTTTAAAATTATACGTCAGTTTTAAGATTTTGTTGCGTTATAATAAAATTGTACAATAGATGTATGTACAGGATTTTGTCATCTGGGTTCAAATCTGGATACTTTATTACTTTACTACTAATTACTTTAAATGAGAAATGCCTATATTATCTGCACCCCACTGTACCACATTTCAACTCAATCAGTTCAGTAGTTTGTGCTTCCGAGAGCAACAAGAAAATACACAAACTCACAAACTTTAAGATTTATAGTATTATATATATTATAAGAAGTGTTTGGGAGTCCAGTTACAAAATCCAAATGTGGCAACTATTCCTTATAATAATTCCAGTTATTGTCAAAAACTCATTTATACATGAGCATAAATGGAAAATTATTATTCCGTATATGAGTAATTTACCTGGGAGTCATATATGGCCATATAAAGACCATGATTCCATATATGGAGGATATTTATGGCCATATATGGGCAATAATTTCATATATAGAAAACATGTATGGCCATATATGGACAATCATTTCATATATAGAAAACATGTATGGCCATATATGGCCAATAATTCCATATATAGACTACATATATGACCATATATGGACACCACCATATATGGATACAACCACATCTGGCCATATCTGCTTCCATATATGTCCATAAAAAACCATATATGGCTTTATGAAACCATATATGGAATTTTGATATGGCCATATATGGCCAGAAATTACTTTTTTATAGGGGAAGCCCTAGCCTACATCGTAAAACTAACATAAAACAGTACCATTTGCAGTCGTTACCCAAAAATTACTTTTACAACAAAATGACCCTACATATATAAGATAATACACTTGAACAAAGAAATTACACTTGAACAAAGAATAGGCCTAGCCTATAATAAATTTCACATTTCTCTAAACCTAGGTTCGATTCAGGTGAGAGACCGTACAGTCCCAAGTCTCAGATCCAAGGACCTAAATAAATCGCTGAAAGTTTACTTGACTTAGAACAAAGTAATTACTCACCATAAAATACTTAAACAAACTTACCACAACTGAAAATAAAACTTTAACATTGTGGCCACACGTGGTAATCCTGCCAGTGTGTGGAGCAACAGAAAAAACTAACTCAATTGATTAATTAACGATAAAATCACTTACCCAACATAATCAATATTTACGAAGACATGTTTGTAGCTCGCCCCTTTGATGAACTTGAAGACAACATAGTGTCCGAAGACGACATGGTAACTTAAATTCAACTTCCAACGAGAAAAGGGGAAAAAGATGTCGAGCAGTAGACGTAACCCAAGAAGAAGACTGGCTGTAGCCAACAACCCAAACGGCCCCACAAAACCGGAAATTGACGAGAAAACTGAACGTTGGAACGTTCGAGAACCTTCTAGAAGCTCAACGGCCTGCGAATGAAACAAGCGGACACTTCCGCCTAAAAAAAAACTTATATGTAATAGAAGACCTGAGCCGTCAACTCGCACGGCTCAACCACGCTCTGCTACCATATGTAACGCACTAGACCCTTAACCTATCCTAACCAGGTTCGGCCCATGGCTGCCCAACCGCCATAAGCAGTCACAAAGTTCCGGAGGTGATTAAACAACACAGAAATTGCAAAATACCATTTAATCTCAGTCAAAATATATATATACAAGTACAATTACAAATCATTACAAGTTACAACTAGCCTACTCAATATTTGTTGGTAAAAAATTAATAAATTCAATTACCTACATAAAGATTACAGAATGATATTAAAAGGTTAGGCCTACAAAATAGGTGAAAAGTTCACCTTAAACAGTTGAACGATTAACGATCGAGCGTAAGTCGTGACATGAAAATTTACAAAGTCAAAACGACAAGATTTCAAATAAAATGTTTAAGATTTAAATCAGAACCTAACTTAGGCACTAGGGGCAAATTTAGAATGAAAAGCCGAATAAGTAAATTTAGAGACAAAGATTAACCAATTGTGCCCACTAGGCCGGTCAAGAAAACTGAAATAAATTCTAACTAGGCTAGGCCGAGTATCAAAATTATTACACTAAGTTTAAATCACAAAGGAACTGCTGACACATTAAAGAATTAATTGAAAGGTGTTAAAAAAAGACATTGGATATTTGTGACAATTGAGGCTGGACCGAGGATGTCCCACACACTATTTAACAGTTTGACGAGTAGAACGGAACGTATCAAAATGGAGTTGAAATTTGTTAATTTGGCTAGTAACTGAGTCTGTAATAGGCCAGAGTAATAATGGAACAACACCACCTGGCATAACTGTAGGATGGTCACAGTAGGTAGGCTTCCACCGATGACAACCTGCGATGTGGCGCAGCATGGATCACCAATAGGATAGACAGCCCAAACTCCGGCAGCAGAGTCCAAACTCCGGCAGCAGAGTCCAAACTCCGGCAGCGCTGTCCAAACTCCGGCAGCGCTGTCCAAACTCCGGCAGCACTGTCCAAACTCCGGCAGCAGTAGCTTCTTACATGGTCAGCAGGATGTGTGTGTGTGTGTGTGTGGTCCTCGGTCCTCTCTTCATGGCCTCGTCACAGGTCTCAAATCAGGCTGGTGTCAGTCATAGCCGGGAGCCCTTTCAACATAATTCACATCCAATAATATCTTGTAAAACACAGGCCTACTTCAATTACAGGTTAAGGTAGCACCCTTGATTGAAAATCTGTACTAGGCCTAGGCCATAGTTTGACTCTTGAAGAATATGAACTTCTACTAGTTAGGCTAGTTTTAAACAAAATTCAGTCTTACTGGTAACAAGGCTTAGATAGTGTTAAGCCCTAGCCTACATCGTAAAACTAACATAAAACAGTACCACTTGCAGTCGTTACCCAAAAATTACTTTTACAACAAAATGACCCTACATATATAAGATAATACACTTGAACAAAGAAATTACACTTGAACAAAGAATCTACACTTGGACAAAGAATAGGCCTAGCCTATAATAAATTTCACATTTCTCTAAACCTAGGTTCGATTCAGGTGAGAGACCGTACAGTCCCAAGTCTCAGATCCAAGGACCTAAATAAATCGCTGAAAGTTTACTTGACTTAGAACAAAGTAATTACTCACCATAAAATACTTAAACAAACTTACCACAACTGAAAATAAAACTTTAACATTGTGGCCACACGTGGTAAACCTTGCCAGTGTGTGGAGCAACAGAAAAAACTAACTCAATTGATTAATTAACGATAAAATCACTTACCCAACATAATCAATATTTACGAAGACATGTTTGTAGCTCGCCCCTTTGATGAACTTGAAGACAACATAGTGTCCGAAGACGACATGGTAACTTAAATTCAACTTCCAACGAGAAAAGGGGAAAAAGATGTCGAGCAGTAGACGTAACCCAAGAAGAAGACTGGCTGTAGCCGACAACCCAAACGGCCCCACAAAACCGGAAATTGACGAGAAAACTGGAACGTTGGAACGTTCGAGAACCTTCTAGAAGCTCAATGGCCTGCGAATGAAACAAGCGGACACTTCCGCCTAAAAAAAAAACTTATATGTAATAGAAGACCTGAGCCGTCAACTCGCACGGCTCAATATGGTGTTTGGAGCAGAAAGCACTCAGAGCAGAGCACGAGACGTGTAACTTGGCTGTGTTGTGGTACAATGAACATTGCTTTCACTCCATTGTAATTATTGCTCTGTTAGAAGAGGACACTGTTACTGTTGTAGCAAGAATGAGTTATGTATTGTTAGAATATTTCCAATAACATTTATTTAAAAGTCAGGGGTTTAACATTTTGTATCATAATATATTTCGAATAGTGGTAAAGTAGTTGTTTGGATGAAAATACAGTTTTCTATATCGGTTTCCATTTGTGGACTATAATTGCTGAGTTAGTATGTTAATCTTGTTATGTTTTAGCTTCTTTACTAACAGAGTACGGGATCAAATTCCAGTTTCCGAAGCCCCGAGAAAATATTTTTCCCCATAATAACCGGTCTATGGCCAATATATTCAGTAAGAATCAATTAGTAAAAGAATGTTTGTTAGTTACGCTTATATTAAACAGACTCAACAATGTTTACAGCAACCAATTTACACGTGCATAGTATTTTCAAAGTTTGCTGTTTAAGTGGCTTGAAAAGAAGTAATGCTTTAAACCATAGTTGCATTATTAGTCTTATCATTCTATTCAGTGATTAAAATTATTAAACGTGAAGATCTACCATCAAACTGTTTCACTCTGTGCACATCAGGGTAACTAAGATTGAGTAGGCCTACTCCATGGGTACACCCGACCGGTGAAAAAAATAGTATTTAAAAACCACCAAAAAATACACTATACAGTACACAGAAGAACAATATCTGGATAGCTATTGTAAACGCTGCACTCTCAAAACAATTTTTCATTTAAAAGTTAATTTTCACTTAATCTTTATTTTAAATTATCACGCTATCCTAATAATTACGCAGTAAACGAAAATTTTATCAATCTCCACTATGTCGATGGTTATATACAAAATTATGTATCATACACGAAAAGTTACAGTATGAATTTTATGGTATGGAGGTATATTAAATGGGATAATTGTACAATACAAGAACATTTCATAGCGTAAAGTTCCTCTACTCTTGAGGCTTGAGATTTCCCTAGAGGATTGATTGATCTCCGAGTAAAACAGCCAATAGAAATCTTTTCAATGGTTGACATGTTTAGCAAACCGAATAGAATCAGATCACATCGTTACAAGTGTCAATAAGAAGACTACTGATAGTCAATCATACTTCAGTACCATTTCAATACTATTGCAGGGCTTTGGATGTTCTAATCAGGGTATGAACGAGCTTTTTTTATTTATGCATTTTTATTACGTAATTATGCTTTTTAATGAAATATAAAGTTTGGTAATCGTTGTTAAATGAAAACTGCCTTGTTGTGTGGCGCAAACAAGAGGAAAAGTAGATTTTCACAGTTTTAACTTAAAACTCATTTTACTTAAAACTCGTTTGAGACTGAAAATAACTTCAAATATAAACTTTTGGAAGTTCTTATTTCACACTACTAAATTTCAATCAGATTTAAGATCCTAGCATTGGTTCAGCTTATACAGACTAAAATAACTTACATGGTTGAATTTCACCAGAAATAGCTTCCCTACCAAACCCCCTTTAAATTTCTAGGAAAGGTAGGTCTAAAGATTCATAAGAGATTATACTTTTCTATTTTCACCTTATATATTATACCAGCATAACATGTAACATACTATATGTTGTAAGACGTATTTCAGCAACAGGTGCAAAACCGAGTTTCCCATTTACGGCGAAATAGAAGTGTCACTTTGGTCAGATGGCCATGAGTGAAATAACTATTTATATCCTCACGGAAAGTGTTACTTTTTACCTCTCTTCAAATTCTTACTTCTGTGCAGTATAGCTTGGTGCAGTTAATAAGTTTACAAGTTAAACAGTTCCAGCAAGATCCCACACACACAGTTTGCATCTGTTGATATCACGAATTTGTATACGAGTGTGCCTATTGACAAAACCATAGAACAGTACGTTAGAACAAAAGGAACTTTAAACAGCAAGAAAACAGCAGAATTATTATCACTTGTAAGAGTTGTGCTAAAACAGAACATACCTACACCTATACCTACAACGTTACTATACCTATAATGTTCCTTATAAATGAATTGCAGCAAAATGTACAGATTAAGCTGGCGTTAAAATGAAATAATAAATAAATAAATAAATAAAAACGTCTTTATTAGCCAGCGTTTCTCTGATACATATCAGTTTTTCAGAACAATTTTTGTCATTTGGCGATAGTCGAAAATTTGTTTTTGGGAGATCAAGATCCACTGAAAAAACAAAATTTCGTAATTGTCTTAACATATGAAATAATATACTCGTTACACTCGACTTGACAAACACTATCGAATGTATAGGGTCCGGACAGAATTTCGTAATAGTCAAAAATTGTTTTTTTATTATTATACTACAAACAAGCATTGTACGTACTGGTGCTACCTACTGGTGGTAGTAGACGTAGCGGGGATCGGGCAGAAATTGACCTTGAGATGATCTAGGTGTAGATAGGGTACTCTCAGCTGATCAGCTGGATGTAATCTAACCGCAGCTGACCACGTGACGTCAGTAGGTGTCTATATTAAATAAATTATGGATAAAAAGTATTGGCCTGACCAGGGTTCGAACTCGGTTCTTTTTATTGGTTGTCGGGATCAGGGTGTGTAAATATTGGAGGTTTGATTTTAACATGGTTTATGGGCTCAATCCTAACCCTATGAGTTAGTTTTAGAGGTTCATGGGTTCAATTCTAACCTATCATTTGGAGGTCTATGGGTTCAATCCTAGCCTATGTTAGAGATCCACAGGTTCGATTTTAACCTAACACAAAATATGTTATTTCTGGTTATTGGGTTCAATCCTAACATATACTAGAGCTAAAACATGTTAAGTTGGGTTTGTTATTAAAGGTTCACGGGTTTGATCCTGTCTAGCTAATTACTAATTGTTATGTATTATAGTGGGAGGATTGATTCTAACCTATTAAAGGGTAGTGTGAGGTTCATGGGTTCAATCCTAACCCTATGAGTTAGTTTTAGAGGTTTATGGGTTCAATCCTAACCTATCATTTGGAGGTCTATGGGTTTAATTCTAGCCTATGCTAGAGGTTCATGGGTTCGATTTTAACCTAACACAAAATATGTTATTTCTGGTTATCAGGTTCAATTCTAACGCTGGATGTAATCTAACCATAGCTGTTTATTTCAGCTGATTAGCTGTAGACGTCACCTGGTTTAGAGGTTTATGGGTTCAACTCTAACCAACCACTAATAGTATTGTATTATAGCGGGAGGTTTATGGGTTTGACTCTAACTAACCACAAAACGTGTTATTAGAGGTTTACGGGTTCAATCCTATCCCAGTAGGATTTGTAAAAATATACTTTATTCTATATAGTGTATAATGCTTAAGCGGAACTTGAGCATAATTGGTAAATGTTGGATGTTATATGTTTTGAGGTGTGTAAAAAGTGGTTTTTGGTATAGTGGGAGGTTTATGGGTTCAATCCTTTGTAAAAAGAAACATTTTTATTTTATTTGATATTATATATATATGCTATAGTGCATAATAAACGTGAAATATATGATAATTTATGTATCCAGTGTTAAAAACAGCTGAAAGAGGGCTTAACTTTACCAATGAGTATAAAAAATGGCCTTTGTAAAGGCCACCAAATATATTATGTTAAACTTACATCTAATCTATGGTAAATGAGTTACTTAGGGTTGGGGTGTTTTTTGGTATAGTTTTGTATTGTAGCGGGAGTCCTGGAGGTTTATGGGTTCGACTCTTACCAATCACCAAATGACTTATTTTTGGTGATATGTTGATTTTTGGTATTGTATATGAGTCCAGGAGGTTCACGGGTTTGAACCCTAGTTGATCTCTTGTATATGTAACATAACCTCACTTTTTACCTAAACAAGTTTATAATATTGGAGTGCTGATGGTATAATTATAATAATGACTAATTCGATATAAGATTTATCATAATGGATTAATCTGAGTTGAGGTATAAGTTTACAAATTCTCTACTAGGTTGCAGCACTAATGCTGCCAACTACTGTTATCCATTCATGTGACTTTGTATATGTAACATAACCTCACTTTTTATCCAAACCAGTCTGTTAATTATTTATATTTGTGATACTGGAGCGCTAGTGTTGACAGTATGTTACTCTGAGTTGAGGTATTAGTTTACAAATTATCTACCAGGTAGCAGCACCAATGCTGCCAACTACTGATAGTTGATTATATGATCCTGTAACATAACCTCACTTCTGTCTTATATGCTTTTCTGCTAAGTAAAATAACTTCACTTTATGTTTTACTCTGATTTGTTATAGTTTATAAATTCTCTACTAGGTTGCAGCACTAGTGTCTAGCCAACTACAAGTCAGGCATTTTTGTAACATAACCTCTGTTTTTCTATCAAGTTTATAATAATAAATGTATAATATATGTTTGATTTACTATAGTAAATTATACTAATATACTGTGGTATTAGGTAGCAGTAGCTGTGTTTTACCAACTACTGATTACATTGTATATGATATAACCTCTGTTTTGTGTTATTTGTTTTTATCAACTGTTTCTATTAATTGTTTTTCTATCAACTGTTCTTGCCAGCTGTTCTGTCAATAGAATGCGTTTATGACGTAATCTAAGTTGGGGGAATTAATTAAAACAGTCGTGAAAGCTAAATATGGATTTATTTACACTAATACTATTTACACAACTAAATACTTAACGCTAGTAGAGGAGGAGGAGAGGGGCGGCCATCTGAAACAAATAATAAACATAATTAGTATATAATAATTATATAGTATATAATATTAAATATAATAAGTACAATGTCTACATCTTGTATGGTATTGCATCATCTAAA